GCAATAGTGCAAAAGTTTCCCCAACAGGTCACGGCGCATCAAGATGCCCCCCCCATCCATACCCTTAATGCCTTTGGTAAGAAAATATCCAGGGTCAATCTAAGCTACTGGCCGTCTACCGCGCCAAAGCTACCGGCCGCGCACAGGCTACTGGCAGGCCAAGGGGTAACAAGCCCAAATCGCTTCCTAGCCAGATTCCCCAATCATCCCTTCCACAGTGCCGATGCCCGTATCGCACTGCTCGCAATGTTTCCATGATTGTGATCAGTAACAATATATCTCACTCCAGGCCGCGTAATCCCCCGGCGGGTAATTTGAATGAATTGGGCGGTACTCGTGTTCGCCGGCGCGGGGAAGTCGGGAGGTGGGTTTGAATACACTGTACGGGACTACGAGTACGATATGACGTTAAACCGCTTCCCGGAATCGACTCGCGATTTATTGGACATCTGCGGTTTCACTTGAAATCCGTGTTGGCATGATACACCATACGATACTATGCCCCCTCTATTAGCAACCGTCAACCCCAGCACCGTTGTGCCGAGTGAGCACCGATGATCTCGTTGTGCGGGGGCACGGATACCGTGTGATGCCAATGAAGCATTCTTTTAAATCCATTTGTGCATCCGGTCATAGTGTCAAGGAATTATGGCAGTCTAAGACGCCCAGGGCCATCGGACACGGGCAGACCGCCTTTCTCTCTAGACCGGGAGGAAGGTTTATGATTTGTAAAATCAATCATACAGAACCCGTATCTTATCGACCGCAATGGCGACGGTGTGAGGTGCATCGCCATGGCGTTCGGTATCATCCCAGCAAAGCTGTCCTATCATGCGGGTAATACTGCTTGAGGCGACATCCGGTCGCGATATGAAACAGCACAAGGGAGGACTTTTTTTTTTTTCCCCCATCCCTTTTCTCTTTTCTGGAAAACTCCTCAGTCGCCCTGGCAAAGTATATCCGGAGCCCAGGAAGGGGAGGAAGCCTTCCATATGTGTTGCGAATGACAAACGCGGTAGAAAAGGGAAGGTTCGGTCACCCACATATCAATAGGAATGTGGGTATTCTAGGGTGGAGAGGCCGGCACCATTGCGTATGGATCTCGTTTGGAAAGGTCGATGTCCCACCAGTCAAGCAATGGAAACCAGATCTAACAGTCGATCCGTCGCTGGCCGTTTTGCAGCACTTGTGACTGTGGAACTACTGTACCGGTAGCCTGTCTGCTGTCAAGAACGGGGCACTGCGGTGCCACAGCGGCGCAGCCCACGGGTAAATTTACTCGAGTACAGTACTTGGAAGGAAGGAAGGAGGAGCAGAAGACTTTGACGCTAGAGCCGGGGCTGGCTGGGGAAACGGCAAATGCGTGGAGAGCTTTACTGTAACAGGCTTGGAGAACCCCGAACGAGGCGTTGCCCTCCGTCACTGTACCGGTATTTCACACCCCTTTTCAGTCGTGTGATGGACGACCGGGGTAGCGGGAGGAGGTTTGATGTTACTCGAGTACCGTAGTATGGTGCCGCACTCCGGTATTGTCAAGGACCCCTGGAGCCGGAATGGAAGGACCTTCGTTCTGGCTTAGCAGTGGCACTGTACGAGTACACGTACTAGTACTCGTACTCGAGTGCTGTACTCAAGTCGCCGGAATGAAGTCGCGTTTCCTGTCGGGGTATAATGCATCTTGGCGTAGCAATGGGGCTAGTTTCATAGGCAGCATTCAATGTACCGGATGCGAGTATCATAGAGTACTGAAGATGGGTCAGACATTTGCAAAAGAGTTGCTACCGGTATCTCATATGGTATGCTCTTTCATGTCTTGGAGGCTCATGGCTAATAAAATAATAAATATATGAAAATGAATTATAAGAGGAGAAGGAGTGCGATCACTGTTTTCAAAGGGAAATCAATGACAAGACTACTCTTCTCCGGCACTTCAAATTTTGCTTATGAAACAGCACCCATTACCATGCCAAGATACATTATACGAGTACTTCAAACGAAAACGCGACTTCAATCCGGCGACTTGAGTACGGTGTGCTGATTTGTCGGTCTTGGTCACATTACGGGTTAATATCTTGGCAGGTGTCCGTTATATTGTATAACCGCTTTCCCAAAGGGCTCAAAAGTGATTAGCGTGTCCCAGACATTCGCCTTATCCCTACCAATGGGTTGACCCGCCTCTAAACCCCAATACCTCGATGAAAACCCGGGATACTCCTGTCCCCACGATTGATGCGCAGAGAATCATCCACTACGGCACATCACCCGATGGAACAGCAATTTTCATGGGGGCGCTGGTTTATCCTTCGGGGGGGTACAGCTACCGTAAGCAATATATTCTTCTCAAAGAACCCACCCAGGCTGCGGGTGTTCCCCAACATGCCGGTGCCGGCGGGCACCGTCCCCAATGAGACATGTGCGGGAAAACAGGGATAGAAGTGTGTGCACATCTGAGCCCCAATACCCATCCAAAACATACCCCACAAGGTTGTTTTCGGGTACCGGAACTCGAGCGCTCGAGTGCTTCTCGCAATTATTTCCTGGAGTGCATGTTCTCTGGGATTAATGGAACCTTTAATGGAACCTTGAGTAGGGGGTTTGAATACCGGTGCGGGTACCGTACGGTACAAGTGTGATACGAGTACTGTACTCGTATATAGTGGATCCGGGGCACCAGTGGTATTCAGAGTTAAAAACGTAGCAAAAACCCAGCTTACCTTACTGTTTCATGTAAACTTGGCATGCGCAGAAATGGTTAATTTACTGTTACTTAACTTTGCCTTGCCATACCGTACCTCCCCCCCCCCAGTACGGTATCATGGATAGGGAAAGGTCTGGAGGTCCATAACTGGTACCAAACTCAGTTTAATGCTATACAAGTACAAGTGCCAGGGGAGATGTTTTTGTACAAGACAGGGATTATTTCGCTGGTTTACCTAAATTAACTGTACGAAAGCATTATCCCTGGCACTTGTACTGTACAGCCTTGCCTTATCTGACATGACACATGATATGGGGAGAAATTTTTGAAGAATTGAAGATGAATTCTAAAAAAAAATTACAGCACACCCTAGAAATTATATACTCCCACGAGCACTAAGGAGTCGGATCTTGACTTTGACTTCTTTTGTTAACAAATACAGGGATCTTGTAATCTCTGTGAGATTTGTCATAACCTCTATGCTTTATCTTCAGTTTCATTGGGGCATTTAGATATGATACCTAAAACATAGGGATGCTATTGGCTAATACCGGAGAGTAATCTTACGCAACTTCCCGCATTTTACTCGTTTCTGGTACTGAAAAATGATCCTTTTAACTCTGAATACCGCTACTGGTTGGCTGATAGGAAAAAGGTGAAAAGGTCACAGGGGTTGTCGGCGAGTAACCTGCGGCGTCGGCTGCTGGCGCACACACACACATACGGTACCTCTCTCCAAAAATTTCCTCTTTGGAGGTCCCGACCTCGCTCCGAGCCATGAAATCAGTACTCGAGTACCCGTTGTGGAAATGTATGTAGCAATCCATCCGCGAATCTGGTTGTCGTCGTCGTCACCACCCAGTGCAACCCGGGAAACACACTCTCCCCTTGATGGTTGTCCGCTGCGGGTGCCAGTGGGGTAGTCTATGCCAGACATAACCGGTGACCTCCTAAGTCTTCCCGGTATCGGATACGCTACAACACTTCTTGCCTGCTTCGAGTACTCGAGTACACCAGCGCAGCAGCACACGCTACGGTTTCTCCTGTGTCTCGCGAGCACATTCCTCAACGCGCAGCATTGGAAACACCTCGAGGAGCAAGTGGATAAGGGAAGAGGAGGAGGGTACCGGCACCGTGCGCGCCCAGAGCCGTCTCGTTTTGCTTTTGCATTCGTGTGCGCCTCACTGTATCATGGCTGCGTTTCGATGCTGGGAAACCTCCCTTTTCGATTCCGATGCAAGCTTATCTATCGGTAGCAGTGCTCCCTTGCCCTTAGCCCCCACCACCCCCTTCCATCGGTACTTGTGCGAGTATAATACGGTAATGTATCATACTCGAGTACTTGTACCGGTATCCCGCGAGAGGGTCTTTGCGGGTTCCTGAAGGGCTTGGCGCAATGTTTGCCTGTTGCGGACAACTATTTACCGGTGCCCGAGCACAGGCCCTCCCCAAGGGGATTCGCCATCTCCTGTGATGAGACGTGAGCCCTAACCTCGCCCCTGCGAGAAGTTGGCATTGGCCGAGATCCGGATGTGGTAGTAATCCTTCCAACACCCTTTCCTTCTACTTCGGGCCATATAATATGTTACTTATTCATCCCCCTGTCTGTCTCTCCGTTGGATCCACATTCGTTCCCCTCTCCTTCTATAATAATACCGGCACCGCATTGCATTTCGTCATCTGTAGCTTCTCGCACTCCCTTGGCTCTCGTTGCTCTGGCTTTTCTGTTTGTTTCTGCTTGGCCTTTTTCTTTTTTTTTCTTCTCGCCGATTGTGTCCCCTTCGAACGGCCAGGAGCTGTCTGTCAATCACTTGTTACTGCTTATTATAGGTCTAGATAAATCCTAGCGCCTTCTTTCTCCCCCCCCAGCATCATGCCCAATTGAAGGGAAGGGTACACGACAGAAGATTTACTGCCCACACACTTGAAAGCAGATACCGGTTATATATACAACACCATTAGCCACCCTTCCCTTTCTTCAAAAAAAAAAAACTTCCCAGCTAGACCTCCCACACGGACATCCCCTGGAAAGACTGTCACCTTCCCTCGCACCCTTATCTGCTCAGCTGGCAACCCCTCTCGCTGGCTCGACTCTCTACCCTAACTTTTGGTTGTTTGTTTTTGGTTCTTTGATTATCATTGGCCATCGGGGTATTGGCACTTATAGGGGGGGGGGGAAGACAGGCTGTTGGAGCTTAGACTGTTGGAAAAAGGGAGTTTAAGGGACAGTGACCGAGAAACTCCAGCCCATAAACACCCACACAACAAAGCAACTGGGGGAACGCCGATACACACTGTGGAGATGCAAATGCGGAGGATGCTCCTCGGTCTGGTTGCCTTGATTTCGGCGGTGAGCTCGGCTGCTGTGATGCCAAGGAACGGACGTGGAGGTGGTGGAAAGCTGTCTCGTCCCGCATTTTCCAAACTGGCTCGTCAGGAGCCCGAAGATACAAAATACTTTCGTAAGTTTTTCTTTGGAGATCGTTCCCTTGCTATCGAGGTGCTGACATTTCGTCCGGTTTCAGATGAACCTGGGTTTGTTGCCTCGCCACCGAATACCCCCGCATTCCCGTTACCTCGCGCAGATGTGACTAACCCTGGATTCGACAGCAACACCGACTTGACAGGGCATTATGATGAGAGGTAAGTCCACTTCAGCCAAAGCCGGTTCCTGGTCAAAGGGGGGGGGGGGGGCTAAATCCGACTGTAGATTCTTCTCGGGGGTTGTCGACTACGATGCACGACTGGATACGCTCAAGCATATGGTGCGAGCATGGCTTCTCACGACAGCTAAGGAGGGGATAGAGACATGGATAGCTCATGGCACACTCCTTGGGTGGTGGTGGAACGGTCAAGTCAGTACCCGGAACCCCGGTGGAGCCGCCGGCAATCACTAAAGTTATGGCAGATTCTTCCGTGGGATTGGGATCTCGATGTTCAGATGTCCGCCGACACGCTGACCATGATTGGCGACAAGTACAACATGACCCGACACAAGTACGTTTCGGAGGATGGCCTGGTGGTGCGTGAATACCTGCTGGATGTGAATCCGTGGATTTGGCAAAGGGTTAGGGGGGACGGAATGAATGTTATTGACGCGAGGTGGATCGATGTCCGAAACGGGTTATACATTGATATCACGGGCATTGCGGAAACCCAGCCCGACTCGATGCCCAAAATTCTCAATTGCAAGAATTATCACCGCTACCACGTAAGCATCCGAAACACCGATCAAGGTCAACGGGGGGGGAAGGCTCGCACATGGCCGTGCACGTCCTCCTCACCAAGATTCCAAACGCACTCGACTAATTGGATTGCTACAGGTCAACGATATCTGGCCGCTCCGTGACACCACATTCGAAGGCGCTCCCGCGAAAATTCCGTACAGCTTTGACGAAATTCTCATCGCGGAGTACAGGTCCAAAGCACTGGTTGTGACTGAGTACGAAGGGTATGCTTACCCCGCTGCCCCGTGTCTTATCCCGAAAAGATCCGCTGACATTACGTCCCACATAGTCACCGGTGGAACACCAAAAGCAAGACTTGGGATCTAGCCAACGATGCCCCAGCCGGTCCGGAAGCGGAGCGATTGAGCAACCATATCCGGGAACCCGAGAGGTATTACAGCGTCGAATCGGGTGGTTTCTTCTACAACGTCTTCCGCTTGCTGCATTGGTGGTGATCTCTGACTGGTGTTCACGTGCATTCTGGGGGACGCAAGGGGAAGGAGGTTCTTGTACATGCTTTCTAGGGTCATCTTGTGAATATTGGCGTTGCATTAGATTGTATATTTGGGGTGGATTCTAGGGGCTAGGGGATGGATGGAATGGGGGGGTTCCCCGTATGACACCGCGTCGATACTTTCCTTTCTCTTGATCTGCTTCTTTTGGTCTACGCTTTCATTTTGGATTACTAGCAGAGGTATCATCTTTTTTTTTCCTTTCCCCTTTTTAAAACTGGTTCATGGGGCGTTACGCTGCTTTTTCCGCAGATTTTTTTCTTTTCCCTCAAACTTGTTCGCATTGGTCTCGGTTGGGTTTTTTCTCTTACAAAACGCTCGTTATTGGCGCTCTTTTACTTTGGGCGTTGAACTCTTTATTTTCATTTTTCAGGGTCTTGGAATCATTCCAGCGCCGGTTAATTCATAGATGGGGTAGGATAGGTAGGGTAGGGGATGGGAAGGAAGTGGGGAGAAGGAAAGACGGATGAGGAAACGAGAGTGTTTATAGGTAGATATGTTGGGGGGAGAGAGGATAGAATTTAATGGTTAGACACCAGTCTTGTGTTTTTTGTTTTTGAGCTGTGGTATTACATTATAGGTGATGCTCTTGCTGAATAGTCTCGGTACTGTGTTATCATAGCACTGTACCATTGGGATGCTTATAAAAATGGGGGGAGAAGAATGGTACGCATCCCAAACCGTGTTACTTTACGCTTTCCGCTCAATATATTCTGAAGCTGTAAGAAATTTGAAGAATTGATGGTATCATATGATACCGTCCAGAATTCTTTCCCCGAGTGCCCACGCATCAACAGGCTGCTGGCTGCTCGTGATACGCCCTGACATTTTTACCCTCTGGGTGAGGGCGAGGCCGCGATTATATAAGCAGGACAGCCTGAGGACTTGTCAGCGACTTTGAACCTTCCACCACCAACCTGTCGGGTGGCCTGCAGGTGTATGTACGAGTACCGGTACAAGTACTCGTACTGTACCGTGCCTGTGTCATAAAACTCGTTACCGTACGGCAGTGTACTCGCACAGTACCGGTACTCGAGTACAGTACAGTACATGCAGCCCAGGTCAAACATGTATCACCGCCCAACCACGGGTAGGGTATCCAGCCATCCCTCCCTCCCTCCCTCCCGCCCTCCGCAGTTGCGTGCAGATATGATACAATACTCGTACTGTGTGTATCATCCAGAAGCATGGACTACGGTACGGTACTGTGTGGTTCCGCTACCAATCAACCGGATTTTTTCAGCCGTCGACAATGGCTTCTCACGTGCTCCACACTTTTGTTCGAGTCCGACATTGTATTTATATTCCCGAGAAGTTTCTCTCTCCATCATGGTATCCCCACCGATTTGACTTTGACTTTGAATTTGAATTGGGGTTTTTTATAATTTGTTTTGTGTTGATGTGATATATAATATTATACAGTAGATTAGGGTTCCGATGGGTGGGTGCCTTTTGGGTACTTCTGGGGAAATGGTCTGCGAGTGAGTGCACCACGCTGTGTTATCGTAATGCGGGGATGGTACTGGGCCGTATCACATCATAAGTCAGTCTATATGTAGTACCGTATTGTATGTACCCCCCTCCACGTCGGACCAGTTCCGTGAGGAGGCTAGATAGATGCTCATGTGTGCGCGGTGTGTTGCCATTCAATGATCGAAATGGAAGGTGCGGATCTTCTCATTCACCTTCTACCTCAACGGAGTATCTATCATACGGTAGGGCACGGTACAGTAAGTTACATCACTGTACTAGCACGGCAATCTCAAACACGGAATTCCAAAAGGAACCATTGCAAGAAGTGATGTTGTGCGTTATTGTACTGTACTCGTACAAGTACCGTAGGGAATTGTCTCTCTTTCCTCACAAAATGTCCTATAATAATTATATGGATGAAGACCGCACCCGTCTCGCTTTCTACATTTGGAGCACGGCAGCGGAAGACAGCGACAGGTTTGTCTCGGCAGAGATGGAAAACACTCGTTATGATACCATGATAGAGGGTGCCCGTTTATTATTAACTTGTGTGATACCCGGTATACAAGTGCGAGTATGGTATCATCATACCCAATTCATGGAGGAACCCCCGCACAGGAATCCGAAAGGGATTCAATTCAATTCACAAGAACGAACGAACGAACGAACGAACGAGTCTCGGCATTGTTCCCCGCGGCTGAAATCCACATGATCGGTCCCTCAAAGCCGTGATTCCCCACGATTTATGCTATGATATGATACGACAGGCCATTATTTCTCGATTTCGGCACAACACTGTGCTGGTACCATACAATACAATACACAGGATGGAGAAGAAGAAACTGGCAAAACTACGGTCCGGTATTCACTGTGGTATGATATGAATTCCTATGGAAAAGAAAAAAATCAAAAAATCCTTTTCCTGATCGTGGCTGTTGTTAATGGTCCTGGATGTATATCATACCATATATCGTAGGAATTTCGGGTTTTTTCCTGTAGTGACCACAATCTATCGATCTACCGGTAGGGAGCCTTTTTTCTTTCTTTTTTTTTTCTTTTCCCCCTTCTACAGGAATGGTCCAGATTCTTGTTAACGTGCAGTACTCCAGACTTTTTCCAAATCTCTACAAGGGGGGTCATCCAATAGCGGGGGGGTTTTTTTTGGAACTTTGTCTCGTAATTTGGACTGTCTCGATAACTTTACATCGTATCATAGCTAGTGACTCGTCATGTACGAGGCTGGCGCCATAAATGGTGAGCAGTGCAAGGGTTTTCCACCGAAAATAGCCATATTCATGACCTTCCAATCACTGATTTAGTCAAGAAACCCAAACTAAATCTTCATCTCTATCTGAAACAATTCCCTGGATTTTACTTTCCAACCTTTTAGAACTCTCTATCTAAAGTAGTTGAGGAATTATCAAGAGAGCTATGGTTGGTACATTGGTCTTGGCGCAATTTTTGGTAATTTTGTATGGGAAATGGCAAGGCTTGGCACTGTTTTCAGCTTCAACCCCAGAATATTGCATCCCAAACTAGCTAAAAATTCTTTAATAATCCATGAGCACTTGGGGAGATATTTGAAAGAATTTTGAACCAGATCATTAATTTTTCAATTTTTTTGCAACTCCAGAATGTATTGAATGGAATGTGTGAACTTGCATGGTTTGGGTTGTTACATGCCATTTTGCTCATCATTTTTGTCGCCAGCCTCGTACTGTATGTCATGTCATCGCGCTACTGTACGGTATGATACCGGTAGTTATGATATGATGATCCGTGGCGTTTGTAGATCGTATCATGGACTATGATAAGATATGATGATACCATGATTAGTTTTTTTTTCTTTCTCGTAGAGCCTCAAGCCCGGTTGCTGCCCCACTCGACAAAATTTGGCGATATCGCCCCGGTGTCCAGTTAAAAAAGAGGTAACTTATGATATGATAGGAGACAAACTTCGGCGACCGCATCAATGAATATTCGGCCCGTCGTCTTCAACTAAAAACCCATCGCTGAAATAATTACGGTTTTATTTTGATAATATTCTTTCCATGCTTCTATTACGAATAGCGTCCTGGCGACTCTCCCGCCTTGCTGCTGGTGCTACTGCTGCTGGAGCGGCACGGACGGGATCATTCTACTATCGTCGGCCAGCACCATCACCATTATTACACCACGGCTACCGTGCACAGATCCGCTACTCTTCTTCTTCTTCTTCTTCCTCTTCAACACGGACTAAGCGCCCAACTTTAAAATCCACAAAGATAGAATGGTACCACATCCCGGTAGGCATGGGGATAGCCGTGGTAGCGGTAACTCACCTCCGCTCGCGCGCCCGGAGCACAACCTCCCAGGACTCCGCGCCACCATCCGCCGTCCGGCCGATGGGCCCCTGGCAGGTGCACGTCCTCTCCACGCTGCCGCTGAAGGCCCTGAGCTACTACTGGGGCCGCTTCAACGAGATCCCGCTCCCGCGCGCTCTCCGCGTCCCGGGGTTCAAGCTGTACGCTTGGATATTCGGGGTTGATCTGGGGGAGGTGGAGAAGGAGGATTTGCGCGAGTACGCGAATCTGGCCGAGTTCTTTTATCGCAGGCTGAGGAGCGGTGTCAGGCCGATTGACGGGAGGGCGGGAGCGGTGGTGTCGCCGGCGGATGGGAGGGTGCTGCAGTTCGGGGTTGTGCATGAGGGACGGGTGGTTGGTGGGGTCAAGGGGATGGAGTATTCGCTGGATGCGCTGTTGGGGGGGAAGGGGGGGAGGGAGGTGGGGAAGGTTTCCACGCTGGTTAGATATGAGCCCGGTGGGGGGGATGCGGGTACGGAATTGGCGCACGTTACCGATGAAGAGGAATTTGCGAACGTCAATGGGATAAGCTATACCCTTCCAACACTCCTCTCCGGCTCCTCCACCTCCACCTCGGCCTCCGCACCCTCCCCAAAAACCGACGCGTCAACCCCCCCGCCCCCAGACTCCGTTGCCTCCGTCACAGCCTCCCTCTCATCATCCTGGCACTCACCCCCTCCCTCGAAAAACAACCTCTACTTCGTCGTGGTATACCTAGCGCCTGGCGACTACCACCGCTTCCACTCACCGACAAACTGGGTGATCGAGTCCCGCCGCCACTTCCCTGGTGAACTCTACAGCGTCTCGCCCTATCTGCAATCCCGCCTGCCTGGACTCTTCACCTTGAACGAGCGTGTGGTCCTCCTGGGCCGCTGGCGCTACGGGATGTTCAGCATGACCCCCGTCGGCGCTACGAATGTTGGCAGTATCAAAGTGCACTTTGATAGGGAGTTGAGGACTAATAGCCTCACTAGGGATGTTACGGGCTCGGCCGCGGGGGTGGGGAAAGGGGGGTTTGCGGAGGCGACGTATAGAGGGAGCAGTGGGCTACTAGGCGGGCACCCCATGGTTAAGGGGGGGGAAATGGGGGGATTCAATTTGGGGAGCACCATTGTGCTCGTCTTTGAAGCGCCCAGGGGGGTGGGGGGCGACGGGGATGGGGAGAAGGGGAAGGGGGGGTTTAGGTTTTTGGTAAAGAGGGGGCAGAGAGTTAAGGTGGGGGAGGCATTGGGGGTTGTGGAGTAGTTTTGTGGGTACTTTTTTCTTCTTCTTCTTTCCAATAAATATATATATAATATTATATTATAAGGGGTGTAAAGTATGGAGGAAAAAAAAAAAAGGGTAATAGTGGTGTATCATAAAATATATTTTCTACCAACTATTCATTCAATCCGTTCGAATTGGGGGAAGCTATAAAAGGACAGGAGAAAAGAGAAAAAAAGGAAAAAAAAGCCGCAAAAGACCAAAACTCCGGACAAAAATGCAAAGAAGGAAATAAGAAGAGTCCAATTGAGCGGAGTCACCCCATCCATCCTTCAAAGTTCCGGCCAATTTCATCAACCTCACCTCCCCCTGACCCCCTCGCACTGCCATGCCAACCCACCTCCACTCCCACCTCCGCCCGCCCCAGCGCCCCTCGCCTTCCCAAGCAACCACTCCGTAACCCCAACAACACCCCCCTTCCCACCTTGCCCCTCTCCACTGGTATCCCCACCCCTCTCCACCTCCTCGATAACGTGCCTGCCAATCCTCCCCACATCATCAAACTCGAAAAGGAAAACCCCACAAAACTCATCCTTCTCGCAGGCCCTCCACCTAACCACAAACACCTCCTCCCCTTCCCCCTGCCCTTCCCCCAACATCCTCTCACTTAGAACTTCCAGACGGCGATTTCTCCCGGGTAATCTGCCCCATGCCACCGGTGCGGTCCATAGTGCCGCTACGTATGCTACCCGTCCGCGCACGGTGGGTAAGTGCGGATGTGTGCTCGGGAAGAGGTTTAAGGTTATGCTGGGCGAGAGGATGTCCAGTGGGAGTGGGGTTTGGAGGAGGGTTGGAAGATGGGATCTTAGGGTTTGGATCGCTAAGTTTTGTCAATATAATGTGAAGGGGTAGTTGGGAAAGGGGGGGGGGGGAGGCGATACTTCGGCCGAGGTTTAGGCTGCGTTCGGATGGGGGTGTATGGTCCCCCGATTGCTGGGAGGGTGGTGAGGGGGTTGGTATGCTCGCGGCAAAGTAGGAGGGTTGGCGGTGCTGGTGGTTTGAGGATTTGCGGGGTGTTGATGTAGATGCTGACGGGGAGAGCTGGGGTGTGCTGCTGCTGGCACCAGTGCTGAGTAGCAGGAGTGGCCGTCGGAGGGAGGATTGGCGGAGGGGGTGCTTTAGCATTGTTTTTTTCTGTGGTCCTGGTGATATTCGAAGAATGGAGAAATGGAGAAAGAAAGAAAATTGAGACAGAAATTTCCACCCCTCCCCTCTCGCTCTCGCTCCTCCCTCTTTCTCCCGGATTGATCGATCAATTGATCAGTCTATTGACTGACCTTGACTGCCCTTGGCTGGCTGGCTGGTTGGTTGTGTAAACGCTGGTTCGTTCGTTGTGAGAAAGTTTTTTTTTTCTTCTTCTTCCTCTGGCAAAGTTGGATGATGGATGGAGGGATGAATTGAGTTGCGGAAGTCCCGACGTCACATTTGGAACTGTGGTTGATGGATGAGGGTTTCTCCGATTGGCTGGTGGAGTTGAGGTTGGGAGGGTTGTGGAGGAGTAGGGTACCGTACTGTACTGTACTCGAGTACCGGTGTGATACTGCACTTGTAAGATGAAAATGCTACTTGTATATTTTTCATAGGGTCATACCGGCATTACCCTAAAAACAATAATTTAAGATTCGGTCGTGCTGGGTAAGGAGGGTTACTCGAACGTCACGGACTGATTCGTGCTTGGAGCCGTAGATTTTATTACAAGACTTAGTTATACAAAACACAATACAATACCAGTACTAATACAGTACTATACCGGTGCTGTAAAAGATTCACTCTTCTCCGCCGGAAATATTTCCACCACATAACCTTATGATACCATACAATTCACTCGGTCCAACACAAACTGCGAATAGTTTCGAGGTCGATGACGAGAGAAACTGGCCTTATCCATCCATCTCAGGGAAAGAACTGCTCCCACAAGTGCGAGTAGGATATCCTAGATAAGAATAAAAAAATTAAAAAAATTAAAAACTCCCCCATAGTTATGATAGAAATAATGGTTAAGCCTAATCTGAGTCTAACAATACACCCCCAGAAAAAAAATATTATCCGTATGCCGACCATACACCGTGCCACATTGCATAAAGGGTACCGGCATATTATCCGAGCACCTATCGAGAAACAGACCAGACAAAGGAAAAATGAAAACCCCGCCCGTGCCCACGGGATGCTCGTTCCTCGCGGAGGGAAGTTATGTGTCTGTCTTGAGAATAGTCTCAACCATATCCGACAGAGGGCCGTAAAAGTCCTTTCCACTCTCCAAGTCAAACTCCTTGATGAATAGAACATAGTGCTTGAAACTGGTGTTCATATGAGGGTCCAGTCCAAGCGCCACGATAACCGGATAGTGATGGCAGTAGATGTGTGCGTATACCCTGAAAAGTCTCTTGACAAGTTGTCTAACTGTAGCCTGGAAGTTCTTCGGAAAGTGAACGCCTGTGAGAATCCCTCCTGTTAGAAACCACATCATAACTTCTCGGGGGCTGCCAACCTATCCTCGAGGGAAATATCTGCTCATTATTGATATTATCCTGCACCCAAGCCATCAAGTGCTCGATATACTCTGGAGCCGGCATCTTTGTCGGGCGCTTGTACTTGTTCTGATCTTGCCAGAGGTACTCGAACTCATCGGTAGCCTTCATCTCCGGACACGTCACAGGCGAACAAAACTCCGTAATGGAACCATAGAGTAGATTGATCTGGTTGTAAAAGTCGACCACTACCACCGATCCCCCATCAGCTCTCAATACCTCCCACTCATCCGAAGAAGGGACGGCAAACCATTAACTGCCAACCACTCATCCAGATCCTCACCCTCCGGCAACTTGACCACCTTCCTCAAACTCCCGCTGCCAAGCGTCTGCTCCGCATACTGCCGGAGCTGGTACGAGGAGGAGCCACGAGAGGATGACTTGGGCTTAAACGGGGCGCGCGTCTTCTGGTTTCTGAAGGGGAGAGTTAGCGGGGAGTCGTAGACGGGTGGGGGTAAAAGAGGGAATATGGGGCGGTGGAGGAGCGACATTGTGTTCATGAAGGAGGCCATAACTCTCTCTCTCTTTCCTCACTCCCTGGCAACGGCGGCAGGCAGGTAGATGGTTGGGAGGGCTTTGTTTGTTTTGATGCTGAGTTGGTGGGCGAATTGGGTTGATGGAGGGGGAATGAGCGAATGGACTGAGAGGGCCTGGGGTGATGGCCGAATGCGGAGAAAGCTCAGTGGTGACTGATTCGGGGCTATGGGGGTAGTGGTGGGAGCGGGGGGTGGAGAGGGTGGAGAGGGTTCTGGTGATGCCGCTTGCAGGTGGGGGGTAAGCGACGAGGGGGAAGCTGCTGATGCGTCGGTGGTTTGTTTATCCATTCCCCACGGGTTACGGCAAGTGCAACGCATGTCATAATAGCAACAACAGGGTAGACCACGGTACTCGGGTACGAGTCCTGTACCGTAACTTACTATACTCGGGTACAATAAAGCACCGCTACAGTACCGATAGTCTACTCGGCTTCAACTTTGTCTAAACTCACCTGTCAATCACAATGTCATCGAGAAAGAGGAAAATATAAAAAAACCCCTGTGCCACTCAAAGAATTGCACGAGTACTAGTACTTTAAGCAAATCGATTTGCACGCAATAAAGAGATCGTTGCTGCTGCATTCATTCGTAGCCTTTACTATACAGCCGACATGGCCAACGCAGGAGAGTGGTAGACAAGAAAAGTAGCCAGTATACAAACAATCAGAGCCAAGCAGAAGAAGAAAAAAGGTGTAACGGAAACAAAAAGGGTAACGACAATTCGCTGAAACGTTTGCTTTGCATGGTATCCCCCAATCCATCCAGTATCTAGCCTAATAATGGTACTTTTACACCCACCATGAACCCCCCCCCCCCCCTTCAACCAAGCAACCACTCGTAACCCAATTCAGGAAGCGAAAAGAAGAAACTCATGGGCTCATGGAAAACGAAAAGAAAGTGAAAGCAAGACTATGCGTTGTCCGACGCCCCGTGCCACCAGAGTAATGGAGAAAACAAAAAAAAATTGTGTGTGTGTGTGTGTGTGTGTGTGTGTGTGTAGTAA